TAAGCAATTCCTTTGGAGCGTACCACAAGTCCAGCAGCGTCAGCCAACTTCTTCATTGCCGAATACTGTGACTGAGTCATTTCATGAGTCTTCTGGTCCATACAACAGAGCGAGCCAATAACTGTGTTGTCCTCATCAACAATCGGGAACCCGCAGTAACACCGCACATCGAAAGCAGTGCGTCCGTTGATGTTCTGAAAGCGAACGTCTGCCTCAGGGTGCGGCACCAGCAACGGCGTGGATGTCATCACAGTATGCTGACAGAACGAGTGTTCACGTGGAAGTGTCACTCGCCTTAGATCCTCCTTGTTCGACCCCAAGACCGTCATCTGGCCAGCAGTGACCGCCGTCACGATGCTGATGGTGCAGTCCAACTGGCTGGCGGCCAGATTACAGAGCATATCCAGCTCGGAGGCATCTTCTAGGCCCATAATCCGACTACGAGCAATAGCTGCAAGGCGATCCTTCTCGTTCAACGGAATGGGGGCGTCAGGAACCGACCCGTTCGCCGCAGTCTTGGGCATCGTAATCGGATAGTTCCGCTTCGCGGCGTTGGCCAAGCTGCACTTGTACAAAGGTACTCGTGGGACGCTCAGGCCTCCATCTAGAGCAGCCAAATACTCTGAGTCTGCGCTATTAGACGAGAGCCGGATCGACCGGACTTCTGTGGCTTGTCGTTCAGGCTCTTCAGTCTCCTGCTCCACGAGATATTGAATCACCGTACGCACAGAGTTCTTCCGGGCACCGGACGACGAACGCAGCTCCTGTTGCAGCAAGCGCACCAACGTTTTGTTGGTTGGGGCGTGGTCGATGGGGTCTCGCTTCACTTCAATTTTTCCTGAAGAGCTGGGTTTCACCGCCGAGTAGTCTCCGTTCTCCACAAACTCCATGCAACGCGAGCACATGCGCAGAGGCGTGATGCGACGTGTGTCTTGATTCTCCATTTCTTGAACCGACCAACATCGATCACAGACAAAGTGACCGCAGAGACTACAGCGATGTTTGCGTGTTAGTAGATGCAGCGACTTCGTGCAGCAGATGCAGTGCGAGTTCTTCGCGCTGAAAGCTGCATGGTCCGCCATCACCTGCGCTCCAAACCGGCGACGCCGCACGATTTCTGGTAACCGCGTAGCCCCATCAGCTAAACGCACCAGTCGAGCTCGCATCTGGGAAGTCTTGGCCTGTCCGGGTTTGTCCAAGCCGCCGTCGATTTGACCAAAGAAGATCACACGAGCGTATCTGGAGCCAGGTAACTGTTCGACCAGATACCCAGCGTCCATGTCATGCAGCATCTTTACGCGGCTGTGGGCGTTCACTTTGCCTGCTTCGAGTTCTTTCTCATCCAGTGAACTCAACGTGAGTGTAAAGGAATTGGGTTTGCCGTGTTCAGAGCTCCCAACTGGGTCCGGTTTCGCCCCGACGTGCTGCGCTCGCTCAAGGTAGCACCACTGCTCGTCACGTGAGAACAGTTTACTATGCACAAAGGTCCCCGTCTTCACCGCCACTTGCGTCGTCATCGACGCCTCCTCTTGGAGCAACTCGACAAGATTCGGGTTGTTACCAATGAAACCGGACGGAACGACGTGCACTACGGACCCGTAGATGAAATCCTTACGGTACAGTCCACTCATGACCGAGTTGTGATCGAAGTCGGTCGTTGTGTTCAGCACGTTCACCACTTCTTGCAGGTCACAGCATATTTCTCCAGCAGCCAGTACTTGCTGGGTCGACCGGGTCTTCTCTTCCGGTCCGGCCATCGCGGCTGGCCGCCGCGCGTACGTCGTGAAGGCGCCGTGCGACTTATTTAGAATCCACCTGCAGTTCAAAGCGTTCGAGACTGCGAGGCCACGAAAGTCCATGGTGCGAGCTACGGCTTCTGCACGTGCACACAGCTCGTCGTCATCCACGTGGACTCTCGGCTTGGGTGCAGAGCCGTTGCTGCTGCTTGAGAATGGCGGAATGGAACTCAACAACGACGATGCTGCAGTACTCCGCACCTTGCTCCGAAAGCGGATGCAATGCGGCTCAGAGCCGTAGGCCATGTCGATGCTGGACACACGCTCCAGCATCGGCGTGTCAGTGTACCCAAAGGACGTTGTGTGCGCTTCCGATCGTTAATCGGATTGTGATCAGGCATTCCGAAATAATCATTGTATTGCTGCTTCAATACAATAGTTTACACTTAATTATTGATTTTTACAAATTGGATGACTTTTTCCAATTAGTTATTTTGTATTTACAACAAAGTACTTTATTTTTTCGTAAAATCTAGTTTTTTCTGCTTTGTTTTGCGTAAATACGGAGCTCGGTCTGTTAGCAACGGTCGCTCAAAACGCGAACCTGAGGCGCTCGTCTATCATTTTTGATCTTACCATGGCTCTCGCCAACACCTTCACGACCAAGCAAGTCTGCAGCTACTTTTTTACTGCCAGCTTGGCGACTTCCAGTCGGCCACCATGAAGCTTCAAGACGACAACGTAACGCTTCTCGATGTGCGCGATATCTTTGATGCGCTCATCGAGAAGCATTCCGTTGTGAAAAAGTATCTTGCTGCCGACGCAAATATTATTAAGGACGTGGACGTCGAGCGAGCGTGCGTTGTAGCCCTGTCAGGCGCCGTGGACGAGCTGACGAACGACCAGGAGCTGATGTTGCAGCCATTTGAGACGGTACCCGCAATTACGACACCGGACACCAGGCACGGACGCCCACAGGGCTTTGCCGACAGAGTCTTGGCGACTAGAAAAAAGCGGCGCGGTGCAAAGAAGGTATTTGATGGTGTGCTTTTCATCCCGCCGACGTCAAACACCGTGGAGCGTCTTTTTAGTGTGGCGAAACATACTCTTTCCCACCATCGCCAGCGTATGCTGCCTATTCACCTTGAAACCGTGTTGTTCCTGAAGATGAATCGGCCTTTCTGGGACGCAAACACTGTAGCAGCTATCGTGAACGCAAAGTAATGTGCAGTGCTGTACATCTAATTAGTTAATTTTCCAATACACTACTATTGATGTCAATTATTTATTTCTTAAGTTGTAGTTTTTGTAGCAATAGCTTATTTTGGCATGGACCTTCAATATGATTGCAATTGTATTATCGGAATGCCTGATTGTGATCGCCCCACCGAACTGGACAAGCGCTTGCATTCGTGACTGCCTGGCGGACTGTTGACAAAGGATGAGGCAGTGGTGAATCAATACTGTCAGTGGCCCGGTGCCACACTCGTTGGCAATGTCAACAACGGTCTATTCGACGACAGGCGCAAAAGGTATCCGCACCGAGCAACGGTAGCAATTACGTGGGATTGGGCTATTTTACATTAACACATATCAATACTATTGTGGTTAATACATGTGTGCTTGAGTCTGGCACAAATATACTCAACGTTTTCACAAGTCGTCTATCGGAGCCAATACACCAGTTATTAATAGGACCTAACTTATAATAGGTGTGTTGGCTGGTCCAGTAGGTTGCTGTAGTGCAGTCTGAACTGGTATTACAGTACCAGGTAAGCTTACCAGTCTCTAGCAGTACCCAGAAGGGCCTACTGGCGTAGGGCCTCCTCACTGAGTACTGTAGGCCCGACTGTAGCCGACAGTAGGCTACTGAGCAGACCCTACGGCGTAGGGCCTCTGGCGGCCAGAGAACTGTAAATGTCCCCACTCAACACCAAGCTTCAACTGAGACGGCTTCGCAGCGAAGCCGTTCGCTCGATCGCGGTCGGCGACCGGTCATTCGCACCGTAGAGACCGTGGTATCATGGAGTGCGTGTCATTACGGCCCTCAGTTTGCAGGTGGCATTGCTGTCGTCGACAAAAGTGCAGGCACCTGAATTAGTGCCCCCAAGTCACGTATGCCACGCGTGACTTGGCCCTTTAATCCCCTGCAAGAAGTTGTTGCTATTAATAGTAGCAACAACTTCTGCAGGAACCATGCGCAAAAAAGACGCACGTGCCGGCGGGCCTGCTTGAAGATCATATCGGGCCAAGGCCGCGGTTTTGTAAGCCGAAGTGTATTAATAGTGATCCTTTTTCAGCAGGCGAACGGACGTCGCTACAAGAGTCTTGTAGCAATGCCATACATGTACATGTATCTCACTCAGAGACTGACGGCTGAGCGACCCGTTTCTACTTCGAATGTCACGTCGACAGTCTTGCACCTTGAAGTAGTAAGTGCGCGTGAACATGACACTCGACAACTTCATTGGACCCAGAGTTCAGGGCCCGGAGAACCCAGACGTGACTGCATGGAGCGTGATGTAGATCCCACACTCACTTCCTCGAGTCTTCCCACGACTCGGCTTGCAGGCGGCTAGTAGGCTTTTTGTTTGCGAGGTCACTTCCAGTTCACCCTCCAGCCGAGCAGCTCCATTTTTATCTTCCGTCAGGATGGCTCGCTTGTCCGACAGCGGCAACATAAAGGATAAGGACGGCTACATAGGCGTCCAAGACGCGGACGTGGCGATGACATCAACACCAGTGGCCAAGCCGTACCAGGTCAAGTCGCCGCTACTGCGTGAGTGCATGGCCGAGTTCATCGGCACCATGGTACTCATCCTGTTCGGCGACGGCGTCGTGGCTCAGGTCGTGCTCGGTGAGAACACCAAGGGTGAATACATCAACATCAACTTGTGCTGGGGCCTCGGCGTGCTCTTCGGCATCCACGCGTCGGGCGGCGTCTCGGGTGCCCACCTGAACCCGGCAGTGACTACGACCCTCGCCATCTACGGCCGCCTCGAGTGGCGCAAGGTGATCCCGTACATCATCGCTCAAGTACTGGGTGCGTTCGTTGGAGCCTTCATCGTCTGGGCCGTCTACTGTCCCATGTTCAACACTATCGACCCAGAAAAGGAGACCACGCAGGGCGTCTTCGCCACGTATCCGTCGGCACCTGTTTCCTCACTGAGGTCGTGGGTACGGCACTACTGCTGGGAGGAATATTCGCCCTTGGCGACGAACTTAACAAGCCTGCCAGTCCGTACAGCCAGCCGACCGCTGTGGCTCTTTTGGTGGTGGCAATCGGTATGGCGTTCGGTATGAACTCCGGCTATGCTATCAACCCGGCTCGTGACTTCGGCCCACGTCTCTTCTCGCTCTGCGCCGGCTGGGGCTCCCGCGTCTTCACACTGCGTGACCACTACTTCTGGGTGCCGATCGTCGGTCCGCTGCTCGGTGGAGCTATTGGCGGCGGCGTGTACATCGGTCTGGTAGAGCACCACCACCCACGTGACTACAAGCATCCGCTTGAGGGTTAGACCTTCCCATCCTCGTGAGGGGTTATCGAGATGTACGAGGCCTGGCCTTGGAAGCGTCATAGTCATGCATAGCATTGTTCTTGCTAACGTTACGTATAAACTTTGTTCATTTTGATTTTCTACCCGGCCCTCACTCGTTAGATTTTGGCTAAGTGCTTGCTTCGCAGCTAAGTTCGAAATGTACCTACATACAGTGCTCGCTGCTTGTAAGCTGGGGCGTGCCGGTGGCCTTCTTCGCTACACCGTTAGGACTGCGCAAGTTCCAAGCTTTGTGAAGGATTGAAGTGATATTCTTCTTCGCTAAGAGAATATCTTCGTTGCCTAGTCACCCATAGACGGAAGTGATGGCGATCGCAGTCAGTGACTGAGTCACCGCATCAAGTATGTCCGTCCACAACTACTCGACAATCATGCTTGACACGCCGACAGAGTTTGGAATAGTCGCCAGCTTCAACTTAGCGATCTGATACGTGTCATTGACATACTGTCAATGGACGCCGTCCAAAACTGGCATAAGGCTCTAAATATAAAGAGTGCACAGGTACAAAATGTCGCAGACGCCCAGGAACTGAAATGCACATACAGATTATACCCTCGCAAACGCGGTCATACACCTTCAGCTTTTTCAGCCAGAACACGTGGTACTAATGATTTGCAAGTTGATACTTGCCAAGTATTACTTGGTACATCCTTTGGGAACTTAGAAGGTCCACCGTTTTCAGTATTCCTTTGGGAACTTAGAAGGTCCACCGTTTTCAGTTTCTGGGCCGAGTCTGTACATGTTTGTCAAAGATAATTATTGGTTGCCAAAACTGGTGTCATTTGCTTTCTCTCTATTTAGCTCTAAATAATGCACAGGTACAGAATGTCGATGATTTCTGATGTACAGTACATCACCCCGTTTTCGCGCCCTTGGACGTTTGATAAACTTCCGAATCCAATGACTCTAAATCCAAATAAACAATGATTTGTATATTAAAGTCTGATTTATTTGCAAATCCAATATGACCCACCCCCGCGAAAACGGGGTGCAGTACTGTATGTCAAAGATTTGGACGGTGATGGGCACAAAAACGGTACTATTCCTTTCAAAAACTATGAAATAATTTGTGTAGTTGCCGGTGCACAGGTGGTACTATTTTTATTGAGACCGGATTTACGTCAGCTAATGCTAATTTTATTGAGACCGGATTTACGTCTCACCGACGAATGGCATTAGAGCACTCTAACGTTACGACAATACGACAGCCATGAAGCACCTTTATTGCAGTGAAGCACCATTAACACTGAGGTGCGCCCTTAATAATGATAATAAATACCACAAAATCTGCCGATAGAGGCGATGTTTTACGAAAAAAAAGATGCTACAAAGTTTACAATAACATCGTCTGATCTCTTTTCCAAAACAACAAACAAAGAAAAAGGGAATTGCTATGGATCAGCAAGTTTTGGTGCGTGAATTGCTGCGTTCAAGATCACAGGCTCTGGAAGAGATACACGACAAGATGGAGAAGATAATGGAGGCGCTCAATGACGTGATGCACGCTCGCGAGGAGCTCGAAGCAATGTTGCTTCGCGAGGCAGAGATCATCAATGAGCTGTGTGCAAGCATCGGAGAGGCTCCAGCTTCGAGAGGTTTTCCGTCGTCGTATGGGATGATGCTGGGGCGTGTTATTAGAGCTCTTATGAATTACCCTCCAGCTCAGTGAACTGGATGCTGAATTCGATGTTGGTAAACTCTTCTCAACCAAAACGTTTAACTTTTTATTCTTATGTTTATAGTGATGAGCAATCTCTTAGCGTGAAGCATTACCTCGAGCATTGAAACGCCTGATCATTGTCGTGTGAGCTTAGTAACTTCTTCATCCGTCTTCTGCATTTTCTTAACCCCTCTTCATTCCGCAGGGCAGGATTTGCTGTACACAGCAGCAGCCACGTTAATCTCAACCTCATCACTCGTACGTAGGCCTCCGTGATACGATGACGCTCAAACCTATCGGCGTTGCGCAAGAAAGCGTAAGCCATTCCCAGCATCAGAAGTCCACAGCTTGTGCCATCGGGCTGAGCTGTCTTTTTCCTCCCCTTTTTTAGAATTTCTTTGGGAACTTGCTCCTTAACACCACTTCCTGTGTGCCATTTTTCCATATATGGCATCAATGTGTTTTTCCAGGCATTTTTCATCTCTCTTCGATAACATCGTTTGTGCAAAGGCTCACGCCACTTCCACGATGATAACACTCCAGTGAATACTATCCAGATTCAACGGCAAAATCACGAATGGTGTCTCTGATAGCCACAGTTTTGGCTGGTTTGGCCATATCAGCAACGAAGACAAACCAACGGCTCCTTCAACCGTGTCAGTGATCATCTGTATCCCCATGCCGATTACTGTGTCGGTCAGCATTGCGTTGCGAGGAATTATGGCAGCTACATCCATAAAATTAACGAAAGCGGACCCCGACTTGCTCTTCAAAATCGTCATCAGCGAACAGTTTGAATATCTCTGAAGCACGTCTTCAGCCAAAGCTTGGTGAACCTTTGGAGCTTCTGGATGTAGTAATCCACTTGTTTTAACCTCCAAGGAAAAAGGTTCGACTGGATGGGCTTGAACAAGGCGCCAATCTTGGTTCAGCCACTTGACATCCTCGATAAATCCCCCTGGCCTTTGCCTTGAGTACGTAAGAATTCTCAATTCTGTTTAAGAAAGTGCTGTAAGTTCCATACAAAAAGGGGTTGGTAGTGTTTGTGTAAATTGGTGCAACCTTATTTCTCTAAAAGTACCCTTAACACATGTAGGGCGCCCTTAACACATGAAGGGCACCTTTAACACATGGAGGGGCGGCCTTAACCCATCCATATAAAACAATACCCACCTGTGTAGAACGAGATTTTTTTTGAGCCAAATGAGACCAGCATACCCCACGGAGCTTCCTGATTCGCCGCTTGCAGCTCCTCGTGGTTTAATATTATTGCAGCTGACGCTTTCTTCAAGAGAGAGGCAGGTATGACAAATGCATGGTCACTTGTGATGCCACCACTGGTCTCACCGGCAACTTTGCACGTAGCAGGACGAGCTTGTAGAAACTTGTCATCCATGCGAACAGGATACTGGTCGAGCACGTTTGACACCTTCTCCACATTCGGGTAATATTTAGCCCACTGGATGATTTAGGTCAGCAATACAGTAACCTTCGATGAAAGCAGAACAGCAGCCAACTTGGGTTGCTTGGCAATCCACCCCTGTCTTGTCTTCTTTCGGGTACGAGGCTTCGGATCTGGAAGTTTCATCACTTCGACACGGCGGGAACTCAGTGGTTGGGTCGTATCACTTTGGTGTTCGTTTAACTGGTCCTCACAGCGGCGGCCTTCGCTACATTCCAAAGCATTGCTGTTCGAAATAGACTTTTCGTGTGTATCTCGCCGTACAATTTTTCGTTCATCTTTTGGTGTTTTGGATAATGGGTGGCTTCAAGCGCGGACTCTTCCGACGGAGAATGAGAAGGCTCGTCATTCGCAAATTTTCGTTCTCGTGCAACACCGCCAATATCTCACCCTTCATTCCCGATTCCTGATCGGCCTGCATTTCGGCCATCACATCTGCGATGTCAAGCGGATCAAAGATACTGTCAGAATCGATGTCAGCTCCAGTAACGAGAGAACCTGCACCAGTTGAGGATGTGCTCTCAGCACATTCACCAAGTTGGTTTTCGGTGAAAGACTTCTAATTGTTCATCTGCTCGTAGAATTAAAGGTATATAATCAACTCAGCTTCTCAATTACTGGTCCGAATAGAGCTTGGGCACTTGAATACTTCTCAGCACCTGAAAGTACAACCATATTACTCTCCTCTTGGCGTCGAAGACGAACATACTCCACACAACGCTTTCCCACTCGCGCTTTGGAGGTGAAGTGGCTTTTTAAGGGTGCAGGATGGGCTTTGGGCGCCCTTAAGTTCATCGGTCGAGCTTTCACCATATTAATCACTTGGCGAACAGACTCCAAACCCTTTTCCCGTGTGTCGTAAGTTCTTCAGTTGTTTTCATACTCCATCGTGCGGACACTGCTAGCGCAGGTAGCGAGATGAATCCATGTCCTTTGCTGGCAACCGTCATGATATGCTGGCAAGGCAGTCATTGACTCTTGTAAGCAAGGCAATTGCACGACCATAAAGTATCGTCTACTGTGGTTTCTTGTCCAGCTAAATACACTTTCCATTCCGCTTGAGTAGGTCCAATCTGCGTACAGGTGGCGTCGGATTTGTTCCCCATGAACAGGTCCCATTAAGACGAAACTTTCGCCAGCTAATCATTCGAAAGATAGCCCGCAACGCGCTGCAAAAAAAGGGGAATGGATTGAACAGGACGGGACTCTGTGGATGTTCTTCGGATAGACGACAACAAGTGATTCACAATGTTCACTTGGTTCTGAAGCAAGCCAGCGATTGCTCGGTCGATTCTCGTTTTACGACTAAGAAGACGTTTTAACTGATTCCAGTTGCTCTCGATTCTGTTAGTTGTAGTGTTCCCAGCCGTGAAGTATTTTCCGCGCGCATGGTTGGCCCGCATATCACTACACCACTCCCAATTTTCCTGTAAATACTGGAAAATCTCTGGACAGGGCTTGCTGCAAATATCCGGACACTCGCCCTTGCAAAACGTTTCGAATACATCATGTGATCTAATGTAAACCGCCGTTGTCGTGCTGTACATCATCTGCTTAATAGAAAACCCCACTTCATCTTGCTGAATGCCCGTAAGATCATACTTTGCCCGCTTGACGACCTTCTTCCAGTTCACCATTGTGTGAAATTGACACAAGAGTACGGTTGCATCGGGAAAGCACCTCTCCAACACTCTCCACTCCTTAAAGTCCTTGTCAATGACAAAAGTCTCTATTTGTGCCCAACCTTCGTTCTTCCTCTTGAAAACTGAAAAATCGCCTCCATAGTAGATTCTTTTTCATCAAGCGCAATAAAGTCCAAAACCGGCACACCCCGCCCC